TTGTCCTCGTTGAGCCCCGCAAGACTGTTGCTTTTTCTACGCGCAGCCGCTCAGGTGTTGCTCCATTCGGTTTTTACTGTTCTTATTCAGTTGCTCATTATTTTGTTTTGGGTTCTGCTTGCCTCGAACATGTTTTGATACAGAAGAGCTCTTCCAACTGGTCAGACTTGCGATGACACTTAGAGTGGACTATGCTTGCAATGGGGTCACTGCAGTCTGTTGTTTTCTGATCCGTTTGCAGCAGCTTATCCGGTAAAGCACGATCCCGGAGAACCCATCCTCTATGACCCATGCATCATCCTCTCCACATGGTGTCTGGTGACCCTCTGGCCGATTTGAAGTTTTTCATGATGAGCGTGATGCCTTTGGGGCAGCAGTGCTCGTGACTGCTGTCATTACATTCATGTGGACGTTTGTTTGGCAGATGTGTCCTTGAGACGTGCAGTTTCAGGTCAGTTTTGCTGATGTTCCTACCGTTCGACGCGCAGGCTAAGGAGGCAGCACGCAATGCCTACCGAAACGAGCGAGACGGCAAGCTCAGCGCCTTCCGGGCCCTGTGGCGAAAAGAGGGGCTTTCAGGTAGGATTTGGCAGCGGCTGCGGGTCGGTTAAGGAACTAGGCCCATCATCCGGGAACTCGGGTATCAGGTTCAAGGACCCAATGAAGGTTTGCGGGATGAGGCGTGCTTCCAGGTCTTGGAAGTTGGAGCAAGCTGCCAAGAGATTGATGCCCGGATGGCTTAAATCGGCTCGCAAAGCTATGCGCTGCTCTACAATCATGTTCAGGGTCCTCAAGAAGAAGACCTGCTGCTGGCCCTTCATGTACTTTTCGCCTGGAATGAGTTCCCTAGCTGGCCTTCAACTTAACTTTGTGCAGAGAGGAATGTGAGGCCACACGATGTGCACTCTGAGTACAATATCCACCATGAAGCGTGTCCCAGAAACATACACAAAGCTTAGAGGATCAAGATTGAGTGCTTCAACCCAGTACGTTACTCTCTGCTAGCGGGGGGGACGGGCCTGCAGACTTCCAAGTCCAAACCAAAACTTCGCAGCTAACCCGCATTTAGTATGAACTCATCATCTCTTCGTTCAGAACATCCTCGCGCGACTTGATGATTACAAGTACGACAAGGGCGAGGCCTCTACAAGGGCTTTGAGGTTTCACCGGGTCCATGGTTGTGGAAACGCTCAGGGTTCGGCAGATCTTTGGTTCTTCAAACTGGCCATGTTTTGGGGTTTCTGAGTTGCATCGCATCGCATGACTTATTTTATCCGCCAACTGCCAACCTAGATTTGTGTAGGCTCTCACCATGTAGCTTTCCCAGGACTTGATAGAGATGCGTTTCTGCGTCGATTTCAAGGTTCTGAAGTGGGTGCGGATGAATGATTGCTTTGCAAGCGCTTGCCATCACTGCTTTCTGTCGCTTCTTGACCGATATCTGAAAGTCTTATGCTGTCCGTCCTGCGGATGTGTGGTTACTATAAAAGCTCGAGCATGAGAGATCAAACTTTTACGTGTTGCTGTTGCTGTTGCATGACAACGCCGACTGCCCTGGGACATGCGCAGGCTCAGAGTACAATTCTACAATGGCAGTTGTTGACAAGTTGATACCAGTTCTGTTGGCAGATTTTGCAAATGAGGCTGGGCAGGTGAAGTTTCACCCGGGAAAAATGCGCGGACTGTCCGTGTAGTTTGTGTGTCGTAAGAGGCCAAGTATGAGTTGCAAGGTTATAGAGTTTGCACTTCTGCTGCAAGTCGAGACTCTTTAACCGTCAAGCTTGAGCAGAAATGTTTTGAACCATCAGCAGCCCAAGCTTCAAGCAAATCGAACCAGAGCTAATTGTCAAGCCGAAGTCTGAAACCTTCAGAACCCCCGGCACGTACAGTCCAAGGCTGCAATTGTGCAATCCTAAACTGCAGAGTGCCCGAACCATTTCTGCACGTCTGCAGGAGACTGGCTGGGATGCGGCGCTGGAGGAATTCAACGCGAACAAGGGCTGGTCGCCAGTACAGGCGCACGTGGATACTAGTTGTTGTTTAGAGAGGATGTTCTGAGGACCTAAAGTCGGCAACTGTCAATCTGACTTGCGCAGGACGTATCCCAGGAGATCATCGAGTATCACGAGGAGAAGATCTGAGCAGATCCAAAGAAGTCCCAGGGTCCCACGTACTCGCTCGTCTCTACAAGGCAAAATAAAGGTAAATCCTCAGATTAGAGAGGATGTGTTCATGGCTTAGCAAGGCTGGAAATGAAGAGCTTCGATGCCGCCGGCAGAATCTAAAGCCGTATCAAATTCAGACCATGCTTTCTCAGCTGAGTACCTGGCACCGATCGCCCACAAGCGGAGAGTCGTCGCAGATGCCGACAAAAGTCGACGGCGCTGTCCGCATGCAAGATCAACGCGTTGTTTGTTGAGATACCTCTCGAATCCTCTTGTAACTGCATGTGCTTGTTGAACCCTATTTTGTGACCTACCAGCTATCCCTTCTGGAAATCCATTAACTTTAAATATGCTTGGAGAATTTTGGACAGCAGGATCCCGGAAAGATTCGAAGCGTCAAAGATGGCCTACCGACGGCTTGCCTCCCAAATAAGCCCAACCAGTAGCGCAGGAACTTAGGTCCTAGGGCGCAGCAAGGTGGCATGTGCGCTAGGCCACAAGCGCTGGCCTTCTCCAACCTGGAAGTTGAAGCTGAATCAATCCAACATGTTCTTCTCCGGGTACAATATCGAAGGAAAAGGATGCAGGTGATGTCACTAGTGCCGCGGCATGTTCGTACAGGTAGGTTGAAGGCGCACAGCTACGGGGCCTTAGTTGGAGAAGGCCTCGCACTGCGTTTCCGAAGCCCAAAGCTTCCGAGATCAGCCTTTGGGTGCAGAAAAAATGCTGGAAGTCGGGTCTACTAGAACTTCAGATGGGCCTCCAGGAAAATGTTTGGTCGAGCTGGCAGTGAAGAAGCTATGCTACATTGCAGCATCGGGACACCGAAGTAACCCTCAACAGCATACCAGGGCTGTATCTGTCCTGAACAATTTTTGCACAACTTGGGATATGCTAGCCGGGATGAAGAGCTGCATGTTTCCGTTGGGGTTCGCTGAGGTCGATGTATGCCTTGAACTTCTTTGCAGGCTATGATGAAATTCTTCTTACTGCTGCCTTGGATTGTTGCAGTGCATCGCGACTCATGTGAAGTTCGGGTCTTTTCGTGTTTTAGGTCAGGAACCTCATGCAACGTGGTTTGCATAGATTTACCCGTTTCTTTGTTTTCGACCAAACCCATCAGAAACTGGAAGCTCTAAATCTAGAGATGTCAGCTCTCATATGCTCACACACATGATAGTCAACAGTGACCCATGCCTTTAAGTCCGAGACAGGTTGCAAGGAGCGAGCTGCAGCTGCCAAATACCTGCCATCCGCCATGCGTCTCCCATGATGTTTTCTTGTTATAGGTTTTTGTGGTAATGTTCATGAACGGGAATATCGTGATCATACGTACTCGCTTTGTCATAAACATAGCTGATATGCTCGCCATGATAACATAACTCAAGACTGTCAAGCTGGTTGCTAAGTCTCGGCAGCCACGCCGCCGACTCGCCCGTGCGAAGCCCAAACACCAAAGGGTTGAGGGCCTTGATCCAGATGAAAGTCTGACGCAACATAGGCTTGTAGACTTCTACTCAGCCTTGGCCTTTCGGAAACAAACATTGCAGACTCATCTGCTAGAGGTTCAGGATTTCAGACATGTATTTGCAAGCGCGAGGCCGCTCCACCATAGATGTTTTTGACTTCATGTTGGCATTAGGACTTTTAGGAGATTTAACACTGAGTTGAAGTTTCACTTGTTGTTACTTCGTGAGTTCTTGTCAAACGCCCGCAGACATTCTTTCCTGCGCGAGCCACTTGCATTCTAAACATGCTGCGGTGCTGGTCACAATTGGTCAGGTTTGTGCCCCTGCAATCCTTAACCTTGACTCGAGGGAAATTTTAATCTTCAAGCCCCAAGAGATCATGAGCACTGGATTACCTGCTAAGATTACTTAGGTGTGAGCTGCTAGGGTCACTGGTGCCCGATAATTTGGTTTCCAGATCCGTAGTACTGTAGTCAGATATTCAGGATTGCATTCATGTTTCTGTGCAGGAAGAGTGCCTTCACGCATGCACGGCGACCGCAATCGTCACGCAGCGAAAGGCGCATCTTCGTGTTCCATGAAGCCCTCAAGTTGTACGTCCAGTTTTGAAGGGTCTAGTGCGAGTCACGCAATGCTATGGGGCCTTGGATTTTAATTAGTTCACGCATGGCAAGCGCTCGGATGGGATTTGCCAGCTGCCAGGGCCTCAGGCCCCGCTAAAAATTGACAGGATGAGACTATATGCCCCATGCAGGCTTAGAGTTGAGTGCTTGAAAGCAGGGATCTGCAGACTCGCCGTATCACCGTTTTCAGAGTTTGAGGCCTTTTTTTGGTTGATGATGTTCGTGAAGGCTACGGTTTGTACAAGACTCGTGCAGCTTCAGATAGTTGATGCGGAGCATCCGGACACACGCCTTACATCAAGATGAAGTACATGCAAGGGATTGTTTCCTTCCATGTGGACGATACCCGGGTTTTGAAGATCAACAGTGAGGCCTGCGGCTTGAAGTTGAGCCGCAAGGGTAAGCTACTCGAAGGCTTGGTCCTCATGGGGCCGCCCTAGAACAAGTGCCTTTTCACCATGAGTGCATGATCAGCCGTGTCAAGCTGGGAGCAGGGCAGCATCAGCAGTAGTACTTGATCAGCATTGGTTTCAAGCGGCCGTTGATCACTATCTGAGCAAGTGGCTTCAACACAAGGGTGTTTGCTTGGACTCTAGATTCGTTTGTATTCTGTCAGTGCAATGGATTTGCACTATCGCATGCCTTCCCTTTCCGCGGTGAACTTCAACGTTTCCTTGGAGCTGACTCTGTCCGTGGTGCTTTGCGGCTTGCATGCCGTGCTGACCGCTGCAGACTTCAGCTCGATGAAGTCTTGGTTATCAGAAAGTTATTTCCGGCGCTCCAAGCCTGCTTGCCAAGTGCAGGATGCCGTGAAGCTTCGTGTGGAAGAGGCCATGCAGAAATTGACGGAGGAGAATTTCATCCTTGCAAGCCGCCTTCTTCAGCATGGAATGCTGCTGGCTGTGATCATGTACGCTTGCATGGGGGCGCCCTGCTTTACCGTCCTGTGCTTTGGTTTTTACGCTGCTTTCATGCTTATTGCAAAGGGATACGTTCACATGACCGCAGCCAGAGTCAAGCTGCGCCTCTGATATGCATACTTAAGTTTTTTGCTTGAAGTATTTCAAGAAACCAGCCGGTGCCTTTTTGCTTATCAGTGCTAAGAACCGTTGAGGTACATCCTTTTCAACTATGTGACATTCGTTCCCGTCATGTTTGCCGGCGACATTTTTGCAGCTTTAGGGAGCCGAGCGGTGCTTGATGAGATTGTTATGGCATACAGCTTCTTCGGTTTCCAATTAAGAAGACCTTTGTTAGTTTTGGACAAATTGGCTTTCAGCATGTGTTGGCACTTCTGGAATTCATGAATGGTTTGTTCGTACCCGGTTGCAGCTGAGCATGTAGATTGATGATTGAAGCCGCTGCAGAGGGTTCAGGCAGGCGAGTGGTTCTGGTCCCTCCCGAAGAGAAGTGGCCCGTTTGTTTGGATGTCCTTTCTCAAATTTATGGCCATTTTGTTTTGCAGGCCTTTTGCATCCATTGTACGTAAAGCAAAGGTTTAGAATCAGAGGATCTGGCTGTCCCACATCACGTAGCCTTTGCAGGTACCTTCATACTACACCTTCTGCTGTCCCTCCTCCGAGACTTTAGACCTCGAAACCTAAGCTGTGAGAACGTGGATTGTTTTAGCCGATGCCTGATGAAGGATTTGTGCTGGTGGTCCAATGCGTGGACAGCAACTTACACGTGCCGTGTCAGTTCGCAGTGTCGCTCTGCGAGGTCGCGTTGAAGCAAAGGGGTATGAAGCTGTGGAATCATACACCGAGGTCTCTTAAGTTGACGCCCAATTGCCTGTTGGCAACACGGTCTCCTTTCGACAAACGCTTGCGATACAGCATGTTGGTGGGGGGTAAAGTAGAATTTAGCAAGGATCACCTTGAGAGGTTGCCGTTCGTGTCCTGTGCATGCTTCTACCGATTTTGGAGTTTTAGCAATGGCCTGGAGGGCGTTTCTCATTAACCTTGCATAAAGCTTATTCAGGTGGACTCTATCCAACCTGGCTTTCACGTCAATCTTAGTCAGCCATTGCAGGTTGCGTTTTACTTGCAGACGCGTGAATGGGGTGAGGCCGCGGTGCCGTATCATGGAGATGATCTCGGGAAGTTTTTGTGCGTGAAGTGTTGAGACCAACGTTGGTTAAGGTCATTGCAATTTTGCACACGCTTCCCTGGCCGAGGTACATCTTCGGACAAGCGTTCACGGCTGCAATGACAAGCACCCTCAGTGCTGTACTGGAGTGCCTAAGCTTCCACCTTGGTAGTTTCTCAAGTCAAAACCATGCTCTGCACCGCAAGCTCTCAGCTCGATGACGCCTTTTCATTCTTTTAAACTTGAACGCATGCTATCCTTTTAATTGCTGGGATCGCAGTTGATTCCTCCACTCGTTTTGATCTCAAATCCGCAACCCTGGCATCAACTGGCACTTCACATTTGCAAGCCAACCCCACACTTCGAGAGATCCAGGTATTATCTCCGACAGCGGCTTGTGGCGCAATTCAGGACGTCAGATGCGGAATCTATCACGTCTGGTTTTCGCCGGATGCTGCGACTCGGTTCCCTTACAGGGCGTTTTTGTCCTTCGTCTTGGCGTGCTTGGAGGCCAGCAGGTTTGGCGGGATAACAGGGCTCAGCGTGCCCTTGAGGAAATCAGCGTGCCCCTTCCTTGTTTGGCAACTGCAACACTCAGGCGAGGAGTTTGTGATGGCGAGGTCTTGCTCAACAGCAATTTATCAATTCAAGGCGGAGGGCTCTGTAGCAGGTGTGCGCGCCCACAGGGGCCTTGCCTCATCTTGGACCCATGGATAAATGCTTCCTCAGGCCAGGCAAAAGGTCTCCATGAGCCGACTTGCCAGGTAGCAGCCATTGCCTGAACCGTCTCCTGTCGACTCACGAGGAGTTGCACGGAAGGCGGTTCCAGGACTTGCTCCTGCGACCTTGCTGATCAAAGCGTATCTTGCAAACCTCCATGTAGTCTTGCTGATTTTTTCTGGGTTGACAAAATGAACCAAATTACTTCTGGACTAGTTGCTGGGCAGTGAAGGCAAGACGAGCAGGAGCAACGTCGTTTCCAAGACTTCATTACGAGGCGGATGCTTGTCTACAGCAATCTCGCATGAGTTGTCAGCACGAGAAAGTACAATAAAACCCAGCCGACAATCCAAAACAACGCTTTGCTCCTACCTGGTGGATAGGCGTTTGTTGCAATCTTCCATTTCCATATCTGGGTATCCATTTTGGCTGCAGTCGTCGTTCTTTCTGTTGATATCAGAGTCTATAAGATCCTCAATTGCCATTTTGGGATTCGTGCTTTCCTAATTTTTCGACATTCCCCGTAACTTTTATTGATTCTACAGAATCTACTCAGGAACTCCGGTATTCACAGGGAAATCATGGTCCGTGGCAGATGTCTTGCCAGATTTATCAGGACATTCGAATGCATTGTTCGGGTTCCAAGATAAGCTAGTACTACCGGCGCCCCACCAAACTGTTCGCACATCAAACATGAAAACATCCTGACAGAAGCCACAGCAGCGCAGGTCAGTCTCAGAAGACACGCCTGGCTGTCTGCGAGTATCCTTGTCCCAGACCTCCGCCACCCGGATTGGCGTGGACCTGTAGCTGGACTTGGCTACAGCATCTTTTTTTCGTGCTGCCATTTTTTTTTTCCAGGCGCCCTTCAAATCCCGCATCCAGATTTCACATCTTGAGGTATCACGTGGCGCTTCCACATCTTTATGGGTCTGACGAGATTTACCACCTGCTAGCATTCAAAGAAGACGCGGTGCAACCTCTTCCTGAGGTGGGTTTGCTTCAAAGTTTTCCAGCGAAACAAGTTCTGCAACGAATGCGGACCGACACTTTGGAAAGGAATCTTTTGAGTAAGACATCTTTTGAGTAAGATGCTTGTTGTACTCCAGGTGACCCACAATCTTCCAGAGCACCTGCTTCCTGGTTCATCCAATTTCTTACGGCAGGGCCCTCAAGCACAGATCCCGTGATATCAGATGGGGCTCTTGGTGGGCTCGGACTCCTTGATATGCGGAGTATCTAGCCGGATGACGTTGGGGAGTGCCATCATGTGTAGTATGAGCGCTTGAGGATGTTTCGCCTGTAGCTGTATGAAGGTGTTGCGGACGTTTGAGACAATCCCACCCGAGGTCAGTGAGCCATGGTGCTGGTTCCAAGAGACGCTCAGCAGCTTCTGCTGCGTCCGAGGACCTTGCCTTCATGAGCTTACGGTGTGACAGCTTTCATATGCACGTGCCCCACAGGTGGCAGCAAAACACTGTGAGGAGATTCCTGGCGCTTTGTGGAGCAGCCTCCGTCAGATCTCAGACATCGTTCTTCTGATTGATCCGACCACATCGCAGAAACCTGGTCATAGCAGGTAGCCACCAAGGTTTGGGCTCAGGCTTTTTAAGGCTGCAACGTTGGCATCACATTCACATGGCCAAGACTGCTCTCACAGGAGAGCAACGGCTGAGGAAAGAGATCAGGCAGGCGCACCTGAACTTCAAGCGCGAAAGGAGACAAATGCTTAACGCTCAGAGCCCAGGGCCTGCAAGCAGTCCATCCGGTTTCTTGCATTGCGAATTTTGCGAATTCAATCACCTCGGTTCTGCAACCTTTCTGACCTTCTTGCTGTGAACGTTGCATGTGCCACAGGAGATCGAACGAGGAGGACATCCCCAGCTTGCGCAGGCTTGCACGACCCACAGCAGCTTTGATGCTTCAGACTAGGTCTGAACTCCTTGGCTTGCTACCTCTCGCAATCAACATGGAACATGTCTTGAAAGCCAAGCGATCCCAAGTTGGATGGTGGCTTGGCTAGGAGGAGTCCTATACCCCTACCATGAACACGCAACAAGTGAGAGCATGGTAGCGTGAATGTAGGAATGGAATGAATTCTCTGCTATCTCATTACGCTTCAACCTTGTGTCCTGCCCACACGTGTGTGGCAAGGGTTTAGGTGTACCCGGTGGAACTCAACTGAACTTGAATCCCATCCTTTCCCCTGGATTCCCCAACTCAACTAGGATTGAACTGAATTCGAACTCACCCCCACCCACCGAAAAAGCAACTTAACACTCTGGATCTGAGCCTCCCGGCGCAGATAGGAAATTAGCACAACAAGGCTTGAAATGGGCACGTGGCTTTTGATCTGGAAGGAGGCTATGGTCGCAAATCACTTATTCACTTGACACAGGATGAACATCTGGTCGGGGAAGGAATTGAAACAAATCATCCCGCAGATTTCTTCTATTAGGCTGCGTGACAAAGCAGCCATGTGCCTTGACAAACCTTCAAAAGATAGAACGCACGCGCGAGGCTAGTACACCAGCAGTCGTCTCTGGTGACAGCCATCTGGGCTGAAAGTCGTAGCATGACATAAGCTTAAGCGCCAGCTGAACCCAGGAACCTTTGAATTGCTCATCATCATGGAAGAACCGTGTAGGCAATCTGAAGAACTCTTGCAACGTCACGGCCGCAGCCTGGATTGGGTTGCACTGCTTGACTGCGGGGTTCTAAAGCTTGGCACTTCGGAGCACTCTTCGGAGATTCTGCCTCTGAGACCGAAAGCAAGCTTGCACAGGCATTGTGGCTGAACTGATAAATGAGGCCCGGGATGTGCAAATCCCAAGCGCTCGGCCCCACTGCTGGTCCAACTAGACTTCTGAGCGCCGTGGCAACCATGGTACGAACGAACAAGATGAGCCTTGATGCGACCGCCACTTGCTTAGTGGTAGCATCTGCTACCCAGTTACATTCCGCCCACGACTGTGGCTGACTGGAATCCCTTTTGAGACATGGGCCTTTGCTGATGTCACCCATGGCTACATTGCAAAAGAGACACCGCAAATCAGAGTTGTCAAACTTATGGGCATGTTCTCATCATATGCTTGGGCCTGGAGCACCTGAATGCATCCGAGGACAGTTGCACTTTTGCGACCCTGATGTGGCCTGAATGGTCCTGTTGTAAACCGCACTGCCAACACTGCTGCCACATTTCCGGTTGCTGTGACATACAGTCCCGCAGGCGCTGCAGTCGCAATGGCTTCCACTTCTCGTACAAGCAACTACCACCTACGAACATGGGTTCCGAAAAATGCTCCTGCGAAGGGGTATGCGACAAATCGATGTCGGGTGAACTGTTCCTACGAAATTTGGAAAGCTCTTGTGACTACCATTATGCCAGAGGTGCATGAGAGCGACCCCCCAGCCAGGTCTTAAGACAAATCACGGAAGCTATTGTTTGCTTGGGAACAATGCACAGTAGTTCGCCTGCCGATGTGGCAGACACAGCGCTGTCAGAGGCTCAACTTGCGCGCTTGTACTAGTCCAAAACCAAATTCAGAAGCAAAGAAAAACACGTAGCAGTATACATAGCATTAACACTGCTACCATTACGACTGCGACCATGACTAGAATTGCGACAACGAGGCCTGATAGTTTTGTTGCTGTTGTTGGTCACGATGATGGCTATCGCGATCACTACGATTAATGATCATAAACGAGGTCATCCGGATAAGGCCAGTCCCGGTGGTAGTCTAGCAGCATCAGCATTAACCGCAAAAGTTTGGTATTTGTAGTAGTTGTGTTGATACTAAGAGTCCAGCGTGACCTCAGTTTACCACAATCCCATAACACAACTGAAGTTATAATACTCCGGATCATGCAGAACTAGTACCCAGCGTATCAAGAAGCTCTTCATAATAGAATTGGCGGCGGCGGCAGCAGCAGCAGCAGCAATGGCAACAGAATCAGCCATGAATCACAAGGCATACTAGCAAGTAGACGATACGGTTGACTGAGGCAATCTGGCATTGCCCCAAAAGCATTTTCCTTAGAGGACATGAGGGAGTTCAGTAGGATGTTTTCCATCAACAGTATGAGGACCTGCAGCAAGAGCGTTGACACATTGAACCAGATCAGGAAAATGAAGCACATAGTAGATGTACTGGCAAGAAGGGGATCGAGCAAGTGATCACAGTAGTACTGCTTACTCGGTACCACGTTCCTCAGGACTGGGAGTCAATTCGTGCGGCCGTGTCCAAGTACGCGCACAAGGCGGGTCAATCCTCGGTGGATCCAAAGTTTCTTCCGCCCATGTGGAAGCTGGGCATTTTTGGTTTACCGCTGTTAGAGCAGGGACACGACAGTTTCCGGTAGAATTGCACATCCGCGCTGGGCATTTGGACTAAAAGCAAACTGCAAACTCGACCCCTCGACACGGCGTGCTTTGTAAAAAATGTTCCCTTTTCGAGTGCAGTGTCCATGTAGCATTGCTGTTTCGCTGCTTGAGCCCCTTAGAGGTTTGCAACCAAGGATCAGAAGACTTGACAAGCCCAACAAGTGTTTGGGCATCAAGAAGTATTCGTTCTTATTTTGGCCCAGGTAGCGCAGTCTTCAATCTCATGCAGTTGTAGATACCAGGAAAAGCTGACAGCTAGGGCAGCCATGGCAGCAGCCATGGCATCAGCAAGCAGCAACGGAGCAGCAGGTGTGGCAGCAGGAGCAGCAGGAGCTGCGCCGCCAGGAGGAGCAGTGGCAAGAGCCCGATCAACAGCAACCATCATCATTGCACTCTTCTTTTTAGCACCAAGGTACATGCTCGCTCGGCAGCCGAAACTCTATTTCTCCGGCACACATGGCAGCACTGGCAACGACAGAAGCAAGGCATCAAGGCAGGGGGATGGGAAAGTCAGTATTGAAAGAGAATATGCTTGAACCGCGGGTTTGGGGATTTCGATGTAGTGGCTCTGACTGCTGTACGTGCATTGTTCTGGACACTCCCAGGTTGTGGCTGGCCCTATCCGGTGGCTGCTTTTGCACAGCAAAGCTTTGACTTTGATTTTTTCCTGGCTTTGCTATCTGGTTCTGTCAGGAGCTGGGTCGCGTCTTCACTGCACCTGTAGACAGTCCAGTTGAACATTTTAGATCACATTGCCAGGAACTTTCGGGAGTAGAGTGGACCACTGCAAAGGGGTCAGAGTCGCCACTGCGGCATGCTGCAGCATGAATGCCACAGCTTAGTCACTCATGTCCTTCAAATGAGTGAGCCTCATTATTCATGGACCTGTTTTGCCACAAAAGCCAGGACAACGCTTCATCCTCTACTTTCGCTGTCCTGATCTTTAGAGAAATGGCAATGATTCGGCATATGTGTGGAAGTCAAAACATGTTGCATTCCACACTCGGCGCTCACAAGGCTTAGTCAGCATTGCAGCCAGCAGTATACTCCACTGTGCTGGAATGAGCGAATCCGCACCGAAACTGAGCACTTCGGGCGTTAATTTCTCTCCAAGGTTTGGTTTCGCGCTGCTTATGCGGCGCTGATTGTGGCTGTGCTTGTGGCGCTGAATGAAACGTGGTTGTGAGTTGACTGTGGAAGGAGCCTGCTTCCTTGGTCGCGAGAAGTCAATGTTTCCGACGTCAGGAAGGCTTCACCGCGGAAACTCGATTTAGTGCTTCACTTTGCCGTTGGTGCAGTGCTCGGCCCACAGTGCTGGATACTGTAGACGAAGCTTGGATCTCAAGACACATTTCGCAAATCACGCGAAACGCACACCTCCTGGATGGATGGTACGGCATCAAGTCGTGCAAGATTTTGGTGATTTTGCTGCATTGGGTTGGTCAGAGACCAACATCATGAAAAGATAAGCATGCTGGCCACCTCACTCCGTCACCAGAGCTATGAAAGTTTCGACCAACCAGCTCCCAGCTACATGTGCCTGTATGGCTGCGCTCAGAGCCAAGAGACATCCTGCTGCCATGCGCTATGCTTTTTGCGCCTTGTTTCTGCACAGGGACTCTGCAGCATGAGCAGAGCCTGCCTCAGAACTTAACTAAACTCCCGGTGATTGCTTGCATGGTATGCATAAGCCTTGAGGCCTTGAGCATGACCGCGTGGGTTTACTCTTTTCCGGGGCCAAGATGTCCCGCGTCGTCTGTGTAGCCTTGCGGAATCCTCGTTACCTTGAGGGTCCTGTGTCCAATTTGAGGCCTTTCGTTGGCTGAAAAGACGCACGAGGCCGCACCTTCCGAGCTGCATAGCATTGGCGAGCCATGGCAGGGTATGAGTTTGGATTGTGAAGGTCGCTCTTGGAGGTTACAGTTCATTTTGAAGTTCATGCTCAGTTTTCTTCTGAACGTGGTTAAAACCAGTAAGACACAACTTCGCATCACCCGCTCTGCCGACTTCTTGAACTGATAAGGAGCACAGTGAGATGAGTGAGTCTGACGCATAGGCTCCGGGCGGAAGCCTCAAAATCAGTGTTTCCTGTCGTGAAACAACAGTGCTAGCAATGTAGTAGCCGCATTTCAATCATAGGGATTGTAGCACAGTTCTTACTGCACTGATGGCGGCCTCAACTCGAAGCACTGGCATCGAGACATGCCACCGCTTCATTTCCAAGCAGAAAATTCTGGCATCTCACCATTTGTCACATTTGTGTGCCAGGCTTTGCATTTCCAAAAATTAATATCCACCGAGTGGGCCATCCGGGACTTTTTGCCTTTCATGTGGAAGCCTGCGGCCTTCCTGGTTCGATACAACAAGGTCTTGGGGTGCAAAGTTGGAGACTCAATGGGGTTAACTTGCGGTTTGCCGTCTTCGTACAGACAAGTCCCCCCAGAGCGCTTCTGAAGCAGCCTCAGTTTCTGTGGCGATATGTTGAGCGCGTGCAGGTGCTCAGGCCAACGGAATCTTGAGTTAAGGGGTAGTAACATGTAATCTAATGCCGATACGAGAACAATCCAGCAATCCGAAAATCTGATATGTTAAAGCTTTGAAATGCCAATCAGGCCACAAAACCTGCTGTTTTCAGTACTTGATTGGTAACCTGATCTTCGTGATGTATGCCCTTGATATCGGGGACCACGTTTCACATTCCCCTGGATCTGTGACATCTTGTTTGTTTCTGGACGTTGAGCAACGATGTTCTGGATGGTCTTTTCTTTCAATATCTCACCAGTGGTGGGGTTCTGACTTGAGGGGCTTCCCTTTAGGAGCGGTGACATCTCAGGTTAAGCGCATGCAGGATTTGCACCTCAATCTTGTCAGCTCCTCATTTCAGACCCTGCATTTCAAAGGTACTTTCTGTAATATTTCCCAGTTCCTCACTAAGCGGGAGAGCCGATTTACATGGCAGAGCAGGCTACTGAAGGCCCATGAAACAGGTGTGTGACAGGAACTTTCACACAATCGGCTGTCCAGGCAAAACGAAGTGAATTTTGTACTTCATTTCTGCAACGATTGCTTGTCTGAGGCCGCAACAGTGGTTAGCAAGTTGATGCAGCAAGGTCTAACTTCAACACTTTTACGTGTGCAGGCCCTGTGAGCATTGTCTCTCAATGGCTCTTCGCTAGAGCTGTCTTCAATCTGTGAGTTGGCCACAAAATCGAGCGTGGAGTGGCATGCTTTCCAGTTTTGTGCTGCGCACAGTCTTAGAAATCCCGCTGGTTTTTGGGACGAACGGTGCAGAGTCATTGTCTGAACCCCAGGCTGTATCAGTTAGAGTTTAAGATAGCTTGAGGCAAGGCATGAGATCGTGAAGCTAGAGGTGGCTTTCCTTCTTCAGCCTGCGTGTTCTTGGGGTGAGCTCAGTGTTGAATTGAGGATTCCTGCGGGAATGTGCCTCGAAGACAGTTTCAGCTCTTAATCCCCATCCTCTCAGCGTACATTGATCCCGGGTGAACATTGCACTTGCGCCTTGGCTACAAGCTTTGAAGCTTCTGGCCACAGTGATTTACATTTTCTGCTGAACACACGCACTTGGCCATGCGCCACTCAAGTTGTAGGCCTCAATAAGAAACATGCTTCAAACCGAAAGATCCAAATTGCCCAGCCACTGCAGCCATCACCAACCTTGATGAGATGTCTTACAATGCAAAGCTCCATACCCTCAAAGCCAGAAATCTATGAACCCTTGAAACCGAAGACTAGTGTCGACCCTTGAGCACACGTACATCAGCCCACAAGCTTGCCTACTATGCAATCTTTTGCGGCTGAGAGGCCTCCGCTGGTTCCACACTGCCAGCCTCAGGCGGATGCTCAGGGAAGCAGCAGGGCTTGGGGATTTTCAATTCCGTGTGGTGTACGCGCTCTGCATGGGTGTAACCTCTAAATGCAGGCATTGTGTGGTTGTAGGGTGCAAGATACTGCGGCCAGGGCTTCAGACTTTGTTTAGGGAAGCAAGGCTTGGTGATGAGCAGGTGGAAACCAAGCAAACCGACCTTGGAGGAGCTTCACACCATTTCACACCCATGCTCCTGCTTCTCCCTGCTTTTGCCCAGGCGCGGTGGATGGCCGGAGCCGTGGCCACAGTGGAGTCACCGAGGCGGAGCTCAGCAATCTTCTGCCGGTGAGGGGTGCGGATGGGGTTCCGCGCGCGGAACCTCAGACGTTAGAAGGTGCAGGTCGTTGCAGTGTGGCTGAAGGCTGGCTGAAGGCTCAGGGTGGGAGGTCTGCCGTATGGATGTCATCGTGGGCAAGCGCAGAGCATTCAGGGGATTCAAGCTAAACCGCCACGCCTTTCAATGACTCACTGTTGTCTGTGGATGCAGAGGGGGAGACAGCTGCATGGCCCAACAGCAACGACAGCCGTAGTATGCCGCGGCTGAGGGACGAGGTGACTAGGTGAAAACCTAGCTCACCTTCGTTTTTCTTCAGCGGATATAGTTTGGAGCGCAGCAACTTGATGGAGGATGTTGCCGCATGCCACTGGCAATAGAAGTGTTCAAGATGAGCGCCTAGGGTCAACCAATGGCACGGTACTTCTGGGTTGCATCGCTCTTAGCGCGAGTAAGCTGTGCCAGGTTGCTTATCAGTAGGCAGTTAGGCTTTATAGCCCATGAATGAAGCAGCTGCTGCGACATAGCAAGCTAGAAAACCAAACCTTCGAGTGCCCTGCAAAGAAGATTAGGCCGGGAGGGATGTTTCAGGTCTGACTGGCATAGCAGCGGTTTGCGACTAAGATTTGCAAACTAAAACGTTTTCAGCGTTAGCCGACCCTACAATTTCCCAGATTTTTTCTCCAAGCGTTCTGACACGGCTTGACAAGCCTAGGGCCTATGGATGTTTCAGTCCATGCTGTGTGGCAAGCATGAGACCATATGAGACCTATACCCGTCTCGCAACCCCAGTTGTACTAGAACCTCAAGGGATATTGAAGCACTTGCAGCAGCTGCTTCATGCAGTGGATCGGGCCCAAAACGGGCCTAGGCCAGGATCGATTAGGATCACAAGTAGAATCACACCTGGAGAATTCAGCCTTGAAGTGCGACACTTCGTATTTCGTACATGATATGAAGGCTTCTGTCTGAGAACGAGGCATGATGCTTTTCAGGTCGGGGTTTCGGCCTGCAGGTTTCGGGCCGTTCTTATTCAATATGTAGTGATGCCGCAAGCTTGAAGCCCATAGACAAGCTTTCTCCCTTGAATACCATGCATTACAGAAGCGGTTGCCATTCAGCGTTAAAGCATTGAGTCAGATCAAGCGCTTGTTTCGCAGGTGTGTAGCTTGCCACTTCTCCACTGTTAGGACTCGCTCAAGTAGGTTGAGACTCCATTGCATGCGTGCTTGTAGTCTGAGATAACAACTCGGGTTTTCATGAAGCATGTGTATACATGAGCATAGACCCAGGGACCGTATATGTGCAGTTTTGGATGCATGCCTTTCTGCTCATCTCTATTAAAAAGTTCCTCTTGACCTTTCAAACATTTCGTTTAAACAAATATGCCATATGTTGCCCTTTGGCTATGGATCGTGCCCCTAGTTCCTTCCTGAAAGTCTTGACATCACATCCATGCGGACAGGCCGTTGCATGCTTCACTTGTTTTGGCAGCAGTGCAGTGTGGTCGAAGTCACGGGCTTCAGGATTTAAGGCCTGGACATGCTTTGGGTCAGTATGAAGGTGCTGAGGGTATGGCCCCAGAATGACATAAGATGACTTCGAAATATCCTACACTGCAAATTGACGATGTGGCAGCTTCTGTCTGGAGAGTGTTATCCCAGCGGCCTTAGGCACAGGCTTCTCTGGACTTTTGAGGTCTCTGCAATGGAGCGAGGCTAAGATAGCGAAGACACATTTGCACGCATGCTGCTGGCCTTTCCAGCCGGACCAAACTTGACATGTCTTTCAGGCATGACTGGTCTCCTAACCTTGGCCGAAGGCCAAAGAGGGAGCATTCTAGGTAAAGTAGCAAAAGCAAGTCGTGGCCGTGCTGCAGTGGTGTAGACGTCTAAGAGAGTGTCCTTCGCAACTCAAATCATTTGTGTGTCTTCTAGTTGGGGGATTCTGTGTGTTCCCAAGATTTGTGCTTGAAGTGGCTTTGGGAGAGTTTGGAGAATGTACGTCAGGCCAAATTTGAGTCGTGACTGCGCGACCTCAACCTTTTTGTTTTGAGGAGGGCGTGGTTTTCCAGAACGTAGACATTTTCATTGAAAGATGTGAAGCTACGTGCCTTGATTCCTTTCCAGGGCATGGTAAATTCATCCACACACCGGCAGTGGGTGTTCAGGCCGAGGGCTTAGGTAAAGCAGTGAGGGAAGAGGAGAATCGAGATGGTTTCTGTTGGCCTTCAGGGCTGTGGCGGAGGTTGGGGCTTTGGCATTTTAGATGCCTATGCGGGGCAGCCAGAGCAGTCCTTCGAAAAACATTCTGGTCTAGTTTGGCGATGTGGATGTGGATAGCTTTGCGCATGTCAACACCTCACCCCAAAGGATGCAGCTTTGGATTCCATCATGACTGCTTCGGCTGTGCTTCGGTTCTGCTTCGGCTCGAGCGTTTCCCCCAGCTGCGGTCGCGGCCATGGCCGCGAGTGGGGCCGTCGAGCAAAGCTACCTGGTCAGGCGAGTTCAGCTGCGAGGGGGTTCAGTTTCCGGCTGCTAAAGCTGAAGCCCCATGTCTTCAAGCTTGGAGCTGTAGAGCAACTAGGTAGGGCATCGAGGTGCAAGAACGGTCATTGATCTGGGACAGTTGCATGTCAGCAAGCTGTGAATACTGCATCCCGATTGTCAAAGAGGGGTAGGAGAAGTCATGACGACCACCTCCCATCCAACTGAACAGGCAGTCGACTAGCCCGGATCAACTCCTTGGACGAAGGTTTTTAAAGGCTCCAAAGATTATGATCAAGGTCTGGTGGGACGAGATGGCTTTGGAAAGCCCTTTCTTTTCATGATCAGGCGGGCCGATCCGGATGATGTCGAGACCATTGATGCTCTGCAACTGGGCTTGGCCTTACCTT